CTGGAGGGGTGAAGAAAGGAGAAGAAAATTCTGGCAGGTTGCCAGGGCATCATTTGAGGTACTTTTACAGTCCAAACTTGATGACTTGAGTGAGTTAGGAGTAGGCATTGTAGAAGCTTTGTTAAAGTATAACAAAGAAGCATGGTGTAGGGCATTTTTTAAAGAACATAGCAAGTGTGATGTGGTTGAGAACAACATGTGTGAGACTTTCAACAGTTGGATTTTAGGTGCTAGGTTCAAATCAATAATCACTATGCTAGAGGAAATAAGAGTCAAAGTTATGGAAAGAATGAATCAAATGAGAGAATTTTTAGAAAAATGGATTAATGATGTATCACTAATGGCTATGGATATTCTTAGAAAAAATGCTGAAATTGCAGATAATTGTGAGGTAAAGTTTAATGGTGATCTTGGCTTTGAGATTCATGATCCACCATATAAACATGTTGTTGACCTAATAAAGAAGGTGTGTAGTTGTAGGTCATGGCAATTAAAGGGAATTCCTTGTGGCCATGCACTTACATTAATTCATTATAAGGATTGGGTTGTTGATACATTTGTTGATCACTGGTATAAGAAGGAAACATACCTGAAAGCATATGATAGGTTTATTCAACCTATGACAAACATGAAGATGTGGCCAAAAAGTGATAGACCAGCCATTGAACCACCTGAAATTACAGCTATGCCAGGAAGACCAGGAAAAAATAGGAGAAAAGATAGTGATGAGCCAGTTAAGAAGAAGTTTGGAAAGGCTACAAGAAAGGGAAGAAAAATGAAATGTTCTTTGTGTAAGACTTTTGGACATAACAAGAAAAGATGTCCAACTCTGGTAAGTTGTGCTTTAATGCCTCTTTGTTACTGAATTTTACTCTTGTTATACTTTTGACTTTAAAATATGTTTGTAGAAAAATGTTGCTGCTGGAACAAGTGCTGCAACTTGAAATGTTGCTGCTGGAACAAGTGTTGCAAGTGTTGCAAGTGCTGCAACTGCTGGAAGCCAGTCAAGTGTAAATGCAGGTCGAAGTGCAGGTCCAAGTACATGTCCAAGTGCAGGTCCAAGTGCAGGTCCAAGTACATGTCCAAGTGCAGGTCCAAGTGCAGGTCCAAGTACATGTCCAAGTGCAGGTCCAAGTGCAGGTCCAAGTACATGTCCAAGTGCAGGTCCAAGTGCAGGTCCAAGTACATGTCCAAGTGCAGGTCCAAGTGCAGGTCCAAGTACATGTCCAAGTGCAGGTCCAAGTGCAGGTCCAAGTACATGTCCAAGTGCAGGTCCAAGTGCAGGTCCAAGTGCAGGTCTAATTAGTGCTCAACAATCAACTTCTAGTGCAGGTGGCCAAAAAAGAAAGACTAGCACAGCTTTGAGAGGTGGTGCAACTCTTGCATATAAGAAACCAAGACCAAAAAAAGCAAAGACAACTGGTTATGGTCTCTTATTTGGATCAGGTGGCAGTGTAACTGCGAGGGTATGTATTTTATCATTTAAACACATTAAATTGCTTTAATTGATATTAGTTCATCTTTAAGTTAAGATTTTTGTTGTTCTCTCAGTCTGGAAATACTGATAGTGTATTACATAGTGCTACATTGTCAAGTTCAACTCCTACCAATATTGATCTTGGTTACAAACCCAATGGACTAAGGTGGAAGGGAAGAGCTGCAATTACTCAAAGGCAGCTACGGGAGGAGAGTTACAGAAGCACTCAAGGCACACATTAGATTTCACTTGGTTTAGCTTAATGACTTGATCCCAACTAACTTTATTTTGATTAATGACTTGATCCCAATTGTTTTGGTTATGCTATTAGGAAGACTTTGTTTTTGTATATGAATGGCGCCTACATGAATTTGTGTTATGTTGCTATTAGGAAGACTTTGTTTTTCTGTATGAATTTGTGTTTGAATGAAGTTGCTATTTAGATTTCTAAAGCAAATGCAGTCCGTTTCATTATCAAATAACACCTAGTACAAATTAATATATCTTAAAAATAACGGCTACAAACCAAATAACAACAATCACAATAACAGTGATATCAATACTAGTGTTTGATCCTTGTCTTCCTTGTCTTCTATGTCTTCTATGTCTTCCTTGTCTTCCTTGCCTTAAACTGGTTGATGGATTCTTAGTGTTGTATTGTTCTTGGCATGTTGAATCATTTGCATCAGCCCATCGGAAGAATCCAGACCCATTACCGGATGAATATTTTTGGCAACCCCAAAACATTCTTCCAGGATTAGTTGGTGTTCTTGATGTCTTTAGTTCAGCATATATTCCACAGTAGCAACATCGAACCGTCATTGTGAAGACCAACAAAATCAAACCAACAAAAATACAATAGAACCACACACAAAAAAAGATGAAACAAAAATACAATAGAATCACACACAAAAAAAGATGAGTAGATCGAAGGAAAAAATAAAGGCACCAAAAATAAAAGAGAAAAAAATTTGAAAAGACAAAATCGAGAAAAAAGCTCAAATTTGTCAAACAATGATGTTTGAGTGAAAATAAAGAAGAAAGATGGCCTTTAAAGGTCAAAATCTGACCGTTACTTTATTTTTAAGGCATCTCACGCTCTTACCTTGTGTGTATCACACGCTCCATGTGGAGTCTTTCCACATAGGATGCCACATCAAAAAAAGTGTTTAAAATGTTGAGTTTGGATGGGTTCAGGGGTCCAGATGACAAAAGGATAAGTAGAAGGGTTCACAATACAAACAGATACAAGTACAAGGGTCCACCAGACCATTCTGCCTTCTTTTAATGATCTTGACAAATCTTACAATAGTAACAGTGATGTACATCTCAATCACAGACTTGTTGCCTTTTCTGAAGACACTCCTTTTGGTGTCTTAATGGATACTGTGGAACAAAATAGAGGAGCTATCTTTATATAATTCAGATGTTCGAAAGCTGCTAATGACCCAGGGAAAATTAAGCCACTGAAATCAGACCTCACCAAGAACTTTGAACAAATGATTGAGCACAAGACTACTGGAGTACAAGCTTAACATCATACACTATTATATATAAGCTTCATAATATTTACAATAGACACAAGTGTGAGTGCAGATACACTGATCGAAAATGGTGTTGTAGAAGTACTGATAATACAAGCCAAAAAGTTAAAGGTGTTGGGAGTTTTTAGTTCAAGATGACAATATCTTAATCTAGAACAACATGATGGTAGAATTGGAGTCCAAGCAAGCTTCTCCAGTCCCAGAATTTATAGCGTAGGAAGATATCAGGGTACCTGAAAATTGAAGATTATTATTATTGAATGACAAAGATATTGGCAAGAAAGGGAGAAAGATATTACAGCAAACAACTGAAGCAGAGCCTACCACATCAATTCCACAATTTTACAGCCAAAAGGTGATAGTTTTATGGTGAAGTTATCTTAATAATGAACATTTACTTAGACAACATACCTAACTGAGTGTGGCATATCCACTTGACGAAAAATTCGAATCACTGAGGCCGCCCAAAAACTTGGAAAAGTTGCATACCATCTTTGTTACTTCCTTCTCCCCAACTTGTAATAACTGGTCCTTCATACCAATTGAGGTTGTGCAGATTGAGAATCCCAAAAACTATTATTTTTCAGTAACCAAAAGTAGCAAAATGAGGAAGATAGTTCCTGTAATAAAAGGTAAACATATCAATACAATGAACGCTAAAATTTGCCTTAAGGAAATGTAGAACATAAAGGTTTCCTAATTGTTAACAACCTGCCAATAGACATTCAGAGCATCACATAGCTCAAAGGGGAAGATATTCTGAGAAATACATAGCAAATGGATATGAATTACTCAACGTATCAATTCTGCAGAAACACCTTTACATGTATTGGCTAACTAAATTTCACGAATGATAGGGTAACATATTTACAACATCACAGTGTACATAAGTTAAATTGTTTTGATGTTATTATAGTCTATTTCGTGTAATTGTTTTCTTATAGTTGCTGTTCTGTTTTCTCTCCACTCCAAAATCTATGTACTGTGCAATCATTTGGCCTCAACCCTATCCCAAAAGACACAAATATGACAAATAGCAACAAAAGATAGCAATGGCGTAAATATTGCAACAACTAATTAGAGAATTGATAAAGATTATACAACTGAAGACTACTTCTACTATCACCAGGTAAAGAGAACATATGAAATTTTGAAGACAACAACACTTAGAATCCCACTGGCCACTCTTACAGTCGACCTAGCCTAGCCAACTGGATTTGACAGAAGGCCAAATATCATAAGAAGTCTAAAATTCAAAACAAAAACCCGAACTAACTATTTGAAACAAAGAGCAAGAGTGAGATAGCATATAATCACAAAGTACAACTACTTTGATGAAGAAGTGAAGAACTCAAAAACAGAAAAAAACTACTTGGTGGCAGTAGACATTCTGAGCATAGCGTCAAAACTGATATATAGCTGAATGAAGTTCACATTTGGATCCGACAGAAGTGACCAAATATTTAGCTAGAACAACACAATCAAGAGACTTATTTACAGTAACCCCGCCAACACGGAAAGTAGGAGTATTTTCCTTTTTAAGCATTTACAACAAACTTGTATGTCAATAAACGACATCAGCTGCTAGTTGTAGGAAATTATATGACATGCATAAGTTCCTTGAGGACAACCTAAAATATTAAGTACCGAATGGAGCTTCCTAACTGATTTGCACACTTGCCCATGAGAATTCAAATACAGATAGAGTACAACTACTTTGATGAAGAAGCGAAAAACTTAAAAATACTAAAATACTACTTACTGGCTGTAGACATTCTGACCATAGCATTTTAGAATAGAAATGTGTCAGCATTTTAATTTCACTTCATTTCTCATTACTGATCATTAAGGAAAAGACCATGTGTTGAACTTGTCTGGTTAGTAAAAGAAATCACAAACCCTAAAAATCGAAAATGAAGGCTTACTGGTCGACTGACCTTTCACAGCTTCTTGATTGGCGTGGCTGGTTCAATTGAGATACCACTGCTGGAAGATTCAGATTCAACAAATGTTGATTTCATCTCTACCTCATTTGCGTCTAACGATTTGGCCTTTTTAATGCTCCTTTCGCTACTGATTGGTAGAGATACATGCTCTTTTTCCGTGTAGGACAGAATTGTTACAGTTGACTGAGTAACAGGTGAGCTTGTCCAGGATGACTTCCTCAGTTGAATGTAAAATAGTCTCTTCGATAACATTTTTTGGGTCTGATCAACATGGAGAAGTTGGTTCTGGAAACAAAAGGAATCATTTGCAGAAGTATATATTAATATTAAGTATATATAAGCACAAACACTGAGACATATAAGTAAGAGGTAACCTTGACACATGCTGTGTCAAATATGTCCTCTGCCTTCATGGAGAGAAGTTTTTCAGCAGGATCACTAGAAATGAAAGCAGTTGTTGAACCGCTGCCATCAATCAGATCAATTTGGAAGGTACACCTACAATCATAGTGAGTTAATACTTCAGATATTATTTGTATATGCCATATTTTGCCGGAGTAAGTTTATGTATATAGCATAAACGTAATACCGAGGCACTAATGTTGTCTTTCTTTGACATTTTGCGCAATCAAATTGCTTCCTGTCTTTTGTGCACTTTTTCTGTTTGCAGCCGAACATTCTAGCACACAAAACTTTTGAAGGTCATCTGATATTGACATTTCGGCCTCAATGCAGAAAACTCCAACCTATAATGCCCAAAACAAAAATTGTATATCTTACTCTATTCCATCAATAATTTCAGCAAGGCTAAATATTTGTCAAACTTACTGAAGCTGCTGATTTAATTTCTGCAATAGAAATGACTTGTCGGTGCACAGGATTCATGATAAGAGTGGTGGATGACCATGCGAAGTTGGCCGACACATTGCCTGAAAGCACATTTTTGTTTGTTTTTGCCCGACAACAGAAAAATTGTTACATATGTTTTTATGGCACACTAAAGCTAGAGATGTAGAGTAAGAAGTTAGTACCAACTGATCAGCTCTAATACCTGCGGATAAGTAGGATTTATGCGTATTGTGGAGTTGAATCTAGTTTGCAAGGATAAACATGTACAGACGGAATGATCGTGTAATAGTGTATACACTGTAAAAGGGTAAGATTTCAGTAACTTCCCTTGATAACCAGAGACTCCAATGTTCCTTCCAAGGATTACAGGGAACTCTTTACCATTTTCCATTTGAGCTTCCAATTCAGTTCCTTCAATTTCTCCGAAGTCGTCCCATAAAGTGATTAGAAATTGGTTTCGTCTGAAATCAGGAGCAATACATCAACACCATTTTTTCTCGAATCCATCATAAAATTGTATCAAAATTTCGAAACATAAATAACAATGTATAACACGGAAGGAAGGTTGTACTTACTGATCATCAACAATAGTAACCTCACGACACCTATTTTGAGTGCGGCCAGCATATTTTGAAGGGCCAGAATGGAGAACAACTCCTATAATAACTGGTAGAAATAAGGAAATATGAGGTCGTTACACGTGGGGACATAAATTTTAGGTAACTAATGGTTAGTAGGAGAAATATACCAATTTCTGCATTAGGAGCTGGAGTCATATGAGCAATACTCGCAAAAGTTGTGGTATGTAGCTTGGTCGGTGGCAATAGTGGTTTCTCAAGCTCGTTATGTGGTTCGACATGTTCAATTAGAGCTTCTTTATCAAGCACCCAATAAAATTTATGTATTATTCTTCCATACAAAGGTAGTGAAACTTTCACCATGGCAGTAGAGATTAGATATGTATCAGAAAGTACAAGCTTCTCTGCATAATAGTCAATATCATCACCATATACAACTGCCCTGATTTGTTGTTCCTGTAAAGTCATAGAAGTTTGTGTCATACAAATAAATAATATGATTATCCATAGAGGATGAGCTGCAACAACAATGAGCGAGACTACCTGTTCGTCTTCCAAAATCAGATTTTGGAATCGAATTTTTTTCTCCAAACTTAATCGGTCTCGACTCATGTCCACAATTTGGACTTTGCAAGTCCAATCAAGAGTGTCAGGAGTTATTCCGTCAATATTCATTCTTGGTGCCATATGTCTTTATCTTCACAATGAGAGGCATAACAGTTAAGAGTTCTTTTGAAATCATAAACTTTCCGTAATGCTAACGCACACATGCAAGGGTAAATGCTGTAAATTTTTTAACTGTAGAATCTATGAGTGTACTGTTATAGAAGGGAACAAAGTTCATTACAACATACCATCAAACATCTTTCGCACAATATAGAGCAGACACACTAACAATACTTACAAGCAATAAAAACTAACAAATCCAAAAAAAGAAAGCAAGAGCAAAAGACCGAAAAATATATTTAGTACTGCAAGTGTTGAAAGAAGTTGAAATATCCAAGAAGAAACAATAAAGCTTAAACATCAGAAGTGTGCATGAGCAGAACAAACAGAACAAAGTTGAAACATCAGAAGTGTGCATGAGCAGAACAAACAGGTATATTTACCTATCTTTATCTTTTCTATTTATTCATGCAATAGAAACTAAGAAATCAAAATTCTTCAACAAAGCTGAAACATCAGAAGTGTGCATGAGCAGAACAAACAGAACAAAGTTACTGCAACGTATCATCAAAAACCTTTTGTACTATATTACATGCAATAGAAACTAACAAATCAAAATTCTTCAAAGAAGTTGAAATATTGTAGAAACAACAAAGCTGGAACATCAAAGAATAAACAACAAAGAAGCGTCCATGAACAGAACAAACAAAGGAGAAGATTCACAGAAGTACATTAAACAAAGAATTGTGCATGAGCAGAACAAATAAAAAAGAAGATTCAGAGAAGTAAAAGGACCTAAAAGTTGTTCCGATGAATCTCACACTACTAAAAAATTGTCGAAAAGCGACGGCCAAAAGCGACGGAAGTGACTGCGTCGCTTTTTTGGTCAAAATTGACGGAAAAGCGACGCAGTCACTTCCGTCGCTTTTGGCCGTCGCTTTTCGACAATTTTTTAGTAGTGTGAGATTCATCGGAACAACTTTTAGGTCCTTTTACTTCTCTGAATCTTCTTTTTTATTTGTTCTGCTCATGCACAATTCTTTGTTTAATGTACTTCTGTGAATCTTCTCCTTTGTTTGTTCTGTTCATGGCGCTTTTAGAGACGGACTGCGTCTCTTTTAGCGACGGACTGAGTCGCTTTTCGACTATTATTTTTTTTTGAATTTTTTAAAAAAAGCGACGGCGTCCGTCGCTTTATTTTAATTTTCATTTTTTTTAAATTTCTACAGGGCGACTCAGTCCGTCGCTTTTCTGGAAATTTATTTTTTGAAAA